AGCAGCTTACCTTCTCTGCCCTAGCAGCATGGAATGGCGGCAGGGGAGCCTCCTGCCGGGTGCTGGGACTGGCTTACCTTCTCTGCCCTAGGAGCATGGAATGGCGGCGGGGGAGCCTCCTTCTAGGTGCTGGGACTGGCTCCACTTCTCTCACTATTCCATTTATTTAATATCTCAGATGAGCAGTTTTATTTAGTAGCCATATCCTGTGCTATTACAAGGATAGGCTCTGATTTAATTACTCATTCAACCCTTTTTTCTTTTGGTACTGGGGATTGAACTCGGGTCCTTGCACTTGCGCAGCAGACAGTGAAACCACTGAGCTAAATCCCCAGCCCCATTCAATACTTTTTACTGTGTGGCAAACATGTGCTTGGTACTGAGAGTAGAGCAGTAAACGAGACTATCACTGGGAAGCATTTTTCTTTTCTGGATTATGAGCATGCTCACTCCTATTTCCATATTTCCTTCTAGTACTTTAGTTGGTCATCCTTTATGTCTCCGTTTCCTGAGCCTTGAGCATTCATCTGGGTGTCAGTCACAGGTGACAAGTCTGAGTGTCATGGTCTGAATGGCCAGGCCCTTCCCAAGGTCACTTACCCTCTTCTCTGCTGACCTAAGTGCCATATTTCCTGTGTCCAATTTTCATTAAAGCTTGATTGGGTCTATTTATGGACCAGATCTATCTTACAGTTATAAATTTTAATGGGTTAACTTTTAAGAGAAATCTGTGCTGAATGGCTGTAACAGTAAAAACTTTTATCTTTCATTATTAAAGAAGTACTGTGGTACCTCAGTTCACGAATGCTTTTGTTTGTAAACAGTTTGGTTCACAAACAGAAGTGCTTGGCAAAATTCTGTTTTTGTTTGCAAACTCGGCATCGGGTGACAAACATAACTGTGGCCATCTTTCCCACACAAACACAAACATGGCCAGCTTTTCCAGAATCGTAGGTCAGATTAAGTTCATGAGCTGAGGTACCACTGCATTTGGAAAAATACCAAGAATATCTTTAAAATGGAGTATTTTCTCAGTAAAGGGCCCCTTTTCAGCATTTATAAAAGTCAGGATATAAGGGAAACATACTCATAGCAGGGTGTGGTGGTATGCATGTGCAATCCCAGGATGCTGAGGCAGAAGGCTCACCATGAGTTTGGGGCCAGGCTGGCCTTGTATTGAGTTCAAGGCTAGCCTGGAATATATAGAAAGACCCTGTCCCAAAAAACAAACAACAAAAGCAAAAAAAAAAAAAAAAAATTATTAATGCCAAAACGACCCTGAAGGACAGAATGGGTGGAGAGAATAGTTCATCTCAGTTTTCACACATTTGCCAGGCACTGGGGAAAATATTAATTATATTAGCCTCAAGACATCAGCTTATCCTATGCAATCATTGCTGTTATTCTACAGTATGTATTAAAAGCAG